CCCACATACCCCCAGATTGGACAGAACTGCACGGGGCTGGCACGACTACTGGCCAGCTCGACGTAGCTCTCATTCTGCATCGGAAGTGAAGGATACGGGGCAAGACCGAGGGGAGGTATGATACGATCCGAGAGGAGAGAGTAAGACTCGGACGCAGATCCAAAACTTCCAGCGCGGTAGGAGGGCAGACCGAGGGGGAGAGTCGCGAGTCGGCTGCCTGACCACTCCGACCCGTCTGAGCTCTTATAAGGCGTTGCCGCACAAGGAACGGTCATCAACAGTTCGTTTTCCTGAGAGGGGAAGGAAGAGGGATGGCGCGGGAGGGCAGAATTGGCACGACTAAAAGTTCGGCGACGTCCAACTACCCACCAACCCCCGACCTCCTACTGACCCATACCACCCCCATATCGTCGGAAGGTGCTCAAGGCGCATCGCAACGCAAATGGAGTAGGGAAAAGGCACGAGGAGGCTGATCAAAGTGGGGAGCAGGTGAGATGGCCTGCGAGGAGCCGAAAAGGCAGCTGAGTGGGCGGGCGCGAGGCAGAGGCCAGCGGGAGTGTACGATTTTTGCATGCTCGACCTGCGGCCCATGCCTGCACTAACGCCGCAGAGCGAAGCTCGTCCCAGCCGACAGACCGAAACTCCACTCTCCCCGCCCCCGTCCTGTCCCCAGTACCCCCAGATTGGACGGAACTGCAAGGGGCTGGCACGACGAATGGCCAGCTCGACTTAGCTCTTATTCTGCACCAGACGGGAAGGATAAGGGGCAAGACCGACGGGAGGTATGATGACGAATGAGAGGGAGAAGGCTGGTACTCAGACCGATCACCTCGTACTCTCGTGAGCGCAAGAAATAGGCCACGTGGAGCACTTCAACGGGAATTACCACACGGAAAGTTGTGCCAAAGTAAATGCAGCCGCGTCGGACGACGTACCTGAACGAGAGGAGGAGAAATCTTCGCACCCTCGCGACGCGGACCGAGGCAGCAGACAGCACGCGGTTATCAAGGCGCCAAGACGGAGGTTTGAGGGGGGCTCTCTCGCAGGAACCACCTGCGCAGGCGAGGCGAGGAGGATGATCGTGAGGGCAGAGCACGAAGGAGTGAAGCTGGAATGCAGGCTTACATCCTCCGGCACTCCTGATCCTCCCCTTCCAATCCTAACTCACTTCACAAACATAAGCAGCAATTGTGTAATTACATGTCATGAAGCTCGGCGAAAAACTATTGCCGCGATAGTCAATCGGAATCAGTGCAAGCTGAGGCATCTTCGCACACTCGCAGCGCAGTTAGAGATACACAGCAACACGATTATCTCAGCAGGCGCCTCAGTGAGCCTGGCAGACAGCGCGGGAAGAACATGTCAGCGATCGCCATCATGGCAAGGCGGCCAAGGGGTGTCCCGGCGACCAGTTGCAGCTCAGAGTCGGCGTAGCTCGGCATCAGTACAATGAAAACTGTGTCGCCAGCCGCCACGGGGACGTCCACGGATTGCTTCTGGGACAGCTCGCAGAACGCGCCGTGAACCATGATTCGCATCCAGCATGCCTCCGGGGTCCAGATTGCTCGGGACACATAGCCCAGCAGCGCAGCGGTGGTCGCGGGATTGACGTCGTAGTCCTTCATGGACGCGAGCATGGAACCACGGCCGTGTGAGGGCAGCGTCGGCCTCCGGCTCGCGAGGTGCTCCCTGCTGCCATCCGCCATGAGGCTAGCTGGGTCCCAGTTCTTCGCGCCCTCCTCGCGCACGTCGGCCCGTGACAACCTCGCAGCTGGTAGCGGGGTAGGGCCCGTAGGCAGCCTCGCCGCCTCCCCCTGCCTCGAGAGGGGACGCTGGGGGGGAGGGGCCTGTCCATCTCCGCTCTCGCAGCTGGAAGCAGGGTGGGGCCCGTAGGCTGCCTCGCCGCCTCCCCGGGGCCCCGACAAGGGTCGCTGGGGGGGAGGGACTTACCCACCTCCGCCGTGCGGCCATCCCGCCCAGCGGCCTCAGCACCGGCAGCGGCATCACGGTCTAGCGCCACGCGCTGCCAATAACGGCGCAAGGCAGCCTCACGGTCTGGCATGGGGAGCAACATCGCCGCCGCCGTCAGCTTGCCCCCTGTCACGAGCAGCGCGCCGGCATCGGAGACCACGGCGTAGCGGTCTACGGCAGCCGGAAGGGCCTCTGGCGCGGAGCAAGTCCGCATCTGCACCCTCTGCATCGCCATCGGCCGAAGGAGAGCAGACGTAGGCGGAGCAGCCTCAGTATAGGATCTTGGGGCCGCCGCTGCTCAGCAGTCATGCCGAGCTCCACTGCGGCCGCGGTGCTCAGGGAGGAGTCGGAGTCGGCGCTGGCGTGGTCGTCGGCGCTACCGTGGTGCTCGCTCTGCAATTCCACGCCCGTGATCAGGTCAGCCAGCAGCGCCTCGGGAGGACCAGCACTGGCTGGACGTGCAGCAAGGCGGGCACGAGGCAGAGCATGATCTGCATCATCACTAGCAAGAACACGTACGGCAGGGACGGCACGAGGGAGAGCGCAAGCGCGAGCAGCACCAGCGGCTGCAGCCTGGCGCTCCTCTGCGGTCAGGCGTGCCGCGTCAGCCTCGCTCAGTCACTGCTAAGCGCCCGGCCCCAGCCTGTCGCGAAGCACCGGCGCGGCGCCTCGGCCAAGCAGCGCGGTATGGTGTCACCGGGCACGTTGTCACCAGGGGGCCGGCAGTGGCAGCGGCTCGCGACCGCGCCGCCAGAGAAAAATTCAAGGGACTGGATCGCCAGCGCAAGCCAACCAGCCTCGGCAACCTCCACGGCGCAGCTGGTGCCATCGTCTCGGCGCCCACGCCAGCCAGACCTGGCGCAGGACTGGCAGGCGGCAGTGGCGGCACCCGTACACCCACAGCCTCCGGCGCCTCCACACGCGCCACGAGCTCCGGCAGCACGATGTCCACGGGCGACACGACGAGGCCTGGAGGGGTGCCACACCCCATCAGGTTGCGCACGTCCATCGCCTGCACCTGCGCATGCCGGATGGCGACCCTGCGCGTCCAGAGGCGACGTCTGCCCGCAGCGGAGGCCACACCAGCTGGGCGGCACAACGTGGGGCAGGACATCAGCAGGTAGCCAGCGAGCGGCGGCGCGGCGGGGCCCGCACGCCCGATGCGCGGGCGCGGGCCGGCGCGCGTGGCTGCCCGCCCCGGGAGAGGTTCGCCGTACTTGGCACGGCGCCCGAAACCTCTTGAGCCAAAATGGCTTGAGCCAAAATGGCTACGGAGGGCGGAGGGCGGAGGGTGGAGGGAGGAGGAGGAGGGCGGAGGAGGAGGAGGGAGGAGGAGGAAAAGGAGGAGAGTGCGGAGGAGGAGGAGGAGGAGGAGGAGGAGGAGGAGGAGGAGAAGGAGGGGATGGGGAGGAGGAGGAGAAGGAGGAGGAGGAGGAGAAGGAGGAGGAGGAGAGGAGGAGGAGGAGGAGGAGGAGGAGGAGGAGGAGGAGGAGGGGATAGGCCCAGGCGGGGACGCGCCGACCGCCAATCGCCCATGAGTCGCGGATATGGGGCCCGAGGAGAGTCCGTGCCGCCCAGGACCGTTCCGAGCTGCTGTCGAGGGTCTATCGCCGAGCTGTCGGCTATGCCTCGTCGATCGCAAGTCGATGTTCCCTCCCTGAGCTGGTCCCTCCTAGGGTTGCGCCCTACACCTCCTCCTTGAATCGCGCCCCCGTTTCCTCCTCCTCCTTCTCCTCGTTTCCGTAACACGTTTGGCTCGATATGTTTTTCTCGAAGAAGGAGGATCTACCGCTGAGCCGTGGCAGACAAGGCTGTTCAGCCAGCCGTCGTTCTTTCAACGACTTCACAGCGGGTGTTGGGCCCGCGCTCTCACGGCAAGCTGTCCTGCGGCCGTGGGGTTCCATCTTTCCCAGTGCAGAGTCGTAACACCATGGCGAGTGGCGGCAGGCGTCGTTGGGTTGCTTGCTCTATTTGCGGCCCTCGCAGTTGGGTGCGCGTCGACACAAACATCAGCACATGCACATGGTGTTTTGCGCCATCCCGTCCGCCAGGTGGATAGCCCAACAATGGCAACAAGAAGGACAACTCCAAGGAACACGCAGATGGTGGGACAACTATTTCCAAGCAGTGTGCGTTGGACAGCGAGATCTATTCCGCGATATTGCCATGTTCGCTACGGAGTTTCACCGTCGCAGGCATGCGTGTCAAAAGCGTATATCGAGACATATGGAGGTATCATGCCAGACCCTGAGGATGAGGAGGGCCAGAGAAACCAGTCAAAGTATTTGGGCCAAGGCTACCACGCTCGAGGACAATTTCATTTTTGGGAGTGGTGGCGAATCACCAAGAGCAGGCTGCACCTTCCGAATTACAGCCAAGTTCAACGAACTGTGCTACATGTTCATCGTGCTACAGAGAAGTTGCCGAGGTGATTACTTCAACTGGAAGAGAATAAAGTGTTCACCGCGCAGATGGAGGATATGATCGTCAACGTGCCTGGAGGCAGCTCTCAATTGCATGCAACAGTTGGTGAATGTCAGCATGGCTTACAACATCAGAAAGAGCGACAGACCAGTACATGGGCGACAATGAGAAATGATCGCGTCGGCGATCTTCAGCAGCCACAGATGGCGACATAAAGGTTCGCCTCGCAGCGTCCTGGAGACGAGGCAGTCGATGGTACAGCCCACACAGCAGTTGTCACATCAGCTCAAGAATGCGTCCGACGCTGCGCTCGCGGGCTCGCCAGAGGCCGCTCGCAAGCAGCAGCCCGAAGAGCTGGAGCAGCCTGTTCCACGCGAGCATCCGGCGGAGTGGAACACCGAGATGGCGCGTGCCAGTGGGTCACCAGCAGCAGCAGCAGCAGCCTCTGGAGGACTGGCGCTTGCCGTGCCGAGAAGAGCTCTCCTGCGCCAGGCCCCGAGCCAGCACTAGCCGCAGCCAGTCAGCAGCGTGGGCGACGAGCGAGCCACCGGCTCGCGCAGCCGATCGAGACCAAGAGTCAGGTCCTCCTCCTCCTCGTCCTCCTCCTCCTCCTCCTACCCCCTCCTCCTCCTTCTCCTCCTCCTCCTGCAGGCAAACGGAGGATCTGCGAAGCCAGGCGATGCCCCCCGCTCAGGCTCACCTTCTTCTCGTGGCTGGCAGGAGGGTCGGGAGTTTGCGCGACGCACAGTGTTCGGAGCCTGTAAGATTTCGCGGCCTACAGGACTGCTTGCGGCACGGTGGCGAACGAGAGGGCAGCGCGACATGCCCAGCAGATCCCAGTACATATGATTCAGGATACCCGATTGGCGCTTTCGATTTCGACCGTGATCCTTTCGATTGGGGAGGCGAGGTTGGGGCAGAGGCCGCGCATGTGGACTGTTTAGACGGATCTTCCCGGGGAGCCATCGAGGACTTTTCGGGCGAACGTCGCGAGTCAGATCGCGTCTAGGGTTGTAGATGTGTAAATACAGCTGCTGGAGGAATCAATCGACGAGGCATCTGCTCGGGCTTTGAAGAATGGCTGGAAGTCCTTCCGAAGCGCGGCTTCGCCGGATGGCCCGCCTCCGTCGCCGCGTGGCCCCCCTTCTCCCTCTGCCTTTGCGCTGTGCCTCCTTCGTCTCTGTGTGCCTCCCTCTTCGGCTGGCTCCTTCCCCTCCCCGCGGCGTGCCTTGCCCTCGAGAGGTGTGTGGCGTATCCTCCCTTGCCTTCGGATCCCCCTCATCCGTCGGTCGGCCTGTGTCATTGCGCCCGTCCGTCTCCCCCCTCGGCTGTCCGCTGCCGTTCCTCTCTCTCCCCGCGTCTTCCTCGCCTCGTTTGGCCCTCCTCTCCCTTGGCTTGCTGTCCTCGCCTTGTTTGGCCCTCCTGTCCCTTGGCGTGCTGTTTCCTGGTCGTCCGAGTTCGGGCCGTCTTGGCCGCTGCGCGCTGGTGCCCGCTGCCCCGGCGCCCCTGCACCGCTCCCGGCCGCTGCCCCGCGAGAGGCCAGCCGCCTCACCTTCGCTCGCCTCTCTTTCTCATCCTTCCTTCCACTTGCCGCGCGTTCGGCCGCCGGCCCTGCGCCCAACGCCGTTGCCGCCGGGGCGCGACGACCGAAAACTATATATATATATATATATTATGTGTGCGCGTGTGTTTTTCATTCATTTCAGTCCTCTGACGCAATTCTCAGCACACAGTATGCTTTTAGGCGTGAGATTTCTCTCGGACAGTAGCTCGGAACCTGTATGCTCTATTTCTTTTCTTTTGGTCTAATGTCTCGGGCTGTCAGCGTTGGGTAATCCGCGCGTCGCCGTTTTCGGGACTCCTGGGATCCTGGTGGAGTGCCAGCGCAGGCTCTCTGTCTTCCTCTTCCTCTCTCTCCTGCTTGTTCTCTTCCTCGCCTTCGTCCTCCTGCCTCTTGGCCGTGGCCCTGCTCCCTCTCCCCCTCGCCTGTGCCTCCTGGCCGTGATCCTACCAGATAGCTGCCGTGTGGTATTCACATGGCAGCCTTTATGTTCAAAGCTTCCGAGCGGGGGGGTCAGGAGCTCGCTCAAGGCCTAAGGGCCGCAAAGACGTATCGGCTCCTCGCTCGACTGTGCTTGTGACAAGATACGGAAAGACTCACGACATCTTCTTTCTCATTTGTTGCTTCAGTGTTTGACTGCCTACGCCTATCGGCGATTGAGGCTGCGCTTCTCCTGGCACTCAGCGGTGGTGACGTCTTGGGGAGCTGGTCTGCGGGAGCCTGGGTATCTTGCTAACTACAACGCATCCAAGTGTGACGCGGGGAGTGCGGGGCGCCGATCCTACGAGACAGTGTGTACCGCACCCCGCCTACATAATCCATGTATACATATACCTTCATTCTTCCGACGTGCTGATGGAACAGTTACTTTTAGACCGAGGACTGGCATTTAGAGTTGGCGAATTTACCAGCTCAGGCAGCAGATGGCCGAATCAAATATCTACGGTCAATATGACCACATGGCGGGCACACAGAATATACAACGAGACGACCAGGGCCATGTATATGACTCTTGAAGAAGTGCAACAGGCCCACGCCGACTTCGTCCACCCAGTGGTATCAAGATCAATTTCAACAATGGTTGGAATATGGCCACTGGTTGTCCGACAGGTAACTTCTTCGGTGACAACATGTACTTGCCTCCTGATGGAGGCGATCCTTGCCATACTTACCATACTTGCCATACTCCGCCCCCGACTCCCGCTTCGACCACTCCTCTTTTTCATGTGTATACGTGGCTGTGCAGGTAATCTCCAGAGTGAATGTGATGAGTATATCCGCGTTCATATGAATACGCGTCAGTCTCTTACGGCACTACCTGGACCCCAGATCCTCCCCGCAGTGATGCAGGAACTTCGGGCGACAGTTGGATGGCCCACCAAGATCTCCATCTACAGCGACCTTCGGAGCCAGCAGCGATATGGTGATGTGACGGCTATGGTCTTGGCTTCAGGTCTATGGCCGATTCTCGTTTCGGCTCCATCCACTCGGTATATAGACTATGTGCATCTTGTTCAGAAGGAGCTCGTCGAGCTCCTCCCACGACCAGGCGTACGCCCATGCATCTCGACAGTGGTCGCAGCCCTCACGGTAACTCTAACGTTGTGTCGTAGTAGAGCTCTTCTCACAGGTGGGCGCAAGGCGCGGCAGGAGGCCCGCAAGTTGCTCCGCGACCTCCCCCCCCCCCCCCCCCGCGCCTGATCTCAGCCTTTGATCGGAAAGGTGAAGCCACTTTGCTGCGTGCGTTGGAACTGTTTACCTTTGTATATCTGCAGGCTAAGTGTATTTCAGATCCTACGCCGAGGCCCGCGGCGCACGACTCGGGCCCCCTTCAGCTTTGTGTGCCAACTTGTTTCCGACAGGCTCTATGTGGGCGAAGGCTCCATGGTGCGGCGCTCAAGTGGGCACTCTGGTGGAGTTGGGCGCTTCCGCGAGCACCTACGGGTCCTCCGCTGCATCTCCAATGGGACCCCAACTAAGGAGCGCAGTCGGTACCTCCTGCTGGCCCCTGGGTGCTCCTCGTGGCTCCTGATGCTCTTCCTTGCGGCTGTGCCT